GACACAAAAAACATTCTTGTTCTCCAATTCTTTGTATATGTCTCTTGCGATTCAGTTTTTGATGAAGAGTACAAATCTTATTTGCCTTACTAAAAAGCAAATATCTGATGGGTTCATAGAGAACCGATTACGTAATCTTTCTCTGCTCAGCCTTCCGACGTGTCAAACCTTAAAGCAAAAGAGAAAATCAGGAAACAGGTAGCCATTTGTGTCATTAAAGTATTGAAAATTTGCCTGATCTAAACAAACGCACCATACTTGATATTTGGTGCAAATGATTGTCAGTAGGTCTACATTGTTCCAAAGTAAAAATTGTTTAAAAATCCGGTTTGCTTTTGGTGCTAAGTTTGACTTACTTGCTTCGGTTATATGATCTGCCAGAACCGACTTTACTTCGAAATAGCATAGTTTTTTTTATTATTATTAGTAACTTATATTTATATTTATTCCATATACAAATTGGTCCAGACCACAGGCGGCGGAGCGTCATGAAACTAGATGAGGCTCATAGTACCCAGGTCGGATAGCTCGGGCCGTATACGGCCGTAAATGATGAAATGCGGCAAAATGCAGCGCATCAATACGGTGGCAATATCGTAAATGGCTACCTCACGGCGATTTACAGAGCAGCTTACGGCGGTCATTTCTGCGTCTCCATGTACAGCGCCATTTACGCCTACTGTATTTCGCCGTAACTGATCGTTCACCGTGACTACATGAAGAGGCGTTATGTAGTCGACTTCGGCTACGTTTATGAATTATCTTTTGTGCGAAATATTTTTATTCATATTCTGACATGTGTTGAGAGAGGTATTTCAAATTTCTTAAGTTGTTTTAATGAAAAGTTGGCAATATACACTCATTTTATAATGAGTGCGATTTTGCTTTTGGATAAAACATAAAATTTGTTCTTTTCTTCGTTTCTTGCTTTATATCTGTTTCTACATGCACACAGAAGGTGCATTGACAGCGACATTGATAGCTCTGTATCTTATAAAGCAGACTGTACCCTTTTGTAAAAAACAACTTGGCATAGAGTACAACTTCTGTATTTCAAACTGCCCGAAAAACTGGAGAGCGGTATTTTCAAATTTCTTAACTTTTTAATCTGGAAAGTTGGTAGAATATAGGGTAAACTCGCAGAGAGCACTGCTTCTGTCGAACGTAGGATAAATGAACATTTCGATGAAAATATAAATTTTTTCCCTTTCTTATTTTGTTCTTTGAAGCAAAATAACGTACTACACACATATATAGAACGACGAGGAACAAGAAAAATAAGATCAAATAAAAGAAAAAAATACGCGGTGTGTTTGATGTGTACAGTTGAATATAGTGTATTATACCGTGAAAACCCAAGTGGAGTTCCAAGAGGACAAAAATCGAAAATATTCCGACGAGATCTTTGCTCCGTACAACATAACTCGTCACGCTGATTCCAAATATGTAAAAATTTCGAGGTACGCTTCTCTAGAAAAAAACCATCGAATTTCGATATGCGGTATTCATACCGAAACACTGATACCGAAAATACTGAACTTCGGTATATACTGATACCAGAAATACCGAATTTTTTCGTTTTGGACTGCTTTGAATTTTTCCATCTGAAATGAGATAGTTTAGCGTCATGGACAGACAGACACGCAAAACACTCAGCTGTGTATTCTGAGCATGTGTAGATAGAAACAAAGGAAAATTTTGGCTTTAGAAAGCGAACAAAGCTCTTGTTTTGCATCCCTGTTTCTTTCTGGTTGTCCAGAACGCTAAACTATCTCATTTCAGATGGAAAAATTCAAAAAAGTTCAAATCGAAAAAAGTCGATATTTTCGGTATTCGGTATACCTACTCGATACCTACTCTCTATAAAAAAAGGATGCAGACTGAGCCTTCATGAGTTCTGTCTTTTAGATGGAACCTTTTCATAGTTTGATCGAAGTGCGATCTTGAAGGTTCTATCAATGTGACTGATCCATTTTGAGTGAAAATGGTTCGATATTTGAGAAAAAAAAGATTCGTCGGTTTAAAATTCAATTTCGCGATGTGATTTTCGTCGTGAGCTCGATTGGTTTTGTGAACAACACTCTACACTTCAAACGTATGTGATACAGGGGCGTCTAACCTGTGGGATGTTTGAGGCGCAACGCCTCAAACAAAGTACGGTGGGACACTTTTTTGCTGTAGAAATTCATTTCTCAGGTGGTACACTGAGACCAGTAGTAGTTACTAACTACTACTGGTCTCAGTGTACCACCTGAGAAATGAATTAGTGTACATAGTATGTCAGGCACAGTAGGCAATTTTGGCTTATCATGCGGACACATAGATTTTCTCGCATTCAGTATGCTTTCGCGGTCAAGAGTTGATCAAAATCACTTGGAAGGCGCCAGCAATTTAAAGTTACAGCACGTTTTTTTTAACTTAAAGGAGAATACACTAGGTTCTTTCATTGAGATATTTTCGGTTTATATTCACTGTCTACGTAACTTATGTCATAGCTAGAAGCTAAACGTTTCCAGAAATATTTCACATAGTCAGCTTCCAATCTTCGCACAGCACAGTTAGCATCTGGTGTCGCAAATCTGTCTAGCTTTTTCTGTTAAGACTTAGAAGCTTCTTTCATACGCCATTCGAACCGTCGTTTCAAGTGCAACAAAAATGCGTATCGCTTTTTTCTATTTTCCTTTCCTATGCTGAGAACGTAAATCCTATGCGTCTGCAATAAGAACCTTACTAAATCGACCAAAAGATTTTCGAATAAAAAATCTATTTTCCGTCCAAAAATTATGAAAATCATGTAGAACAGGTTAAAAACGATGGAGAATTTAATGAAAAAGTCTATTACGAGTACTCCAGAAAATCTTTGACAAATCTCTGCATCTTTTGTCAAATACTTTTTGAGATAGATGTGCCGATCGAGCTCATAGTAGTTATATTGAGTAGTGCTCAACGGATCTCGCAGCATGGGCTTGTCATTACGTGTCGCGATCACGATAATCAACCAATTACAGATGAAATAGCTAGTCCGTGTCTTGCCGAAACACTCAATGATCGACAATTAACATAATACTGACAAGAACGAATCTCAGTTTTCTCCGCATAAAAGTTTTTTCAAAAAAGGCCACTGAATGTAGAAGAATAATAATAAGATATTCAGAATCATTGTAAAAAGAAAGCTCGATAATCTGCAATTGTATCAACAACCAAAAGAAAAACAAAGAAAGAACAAAGAGTCTTTTAAAATCTGATTCATCAGGTTTTGCCACCAGCATTTACAGAAAATACTACTTTTTCAGATTTCTCGGCTTTTTCTTACACCATCAAAAGAGAATGTGTTACAGCTAAAGGAAAAGTACTTGGAACTATAAGAGTTTTCACTCTCCGTACTGGTGCTTGTGTCAGTATAGATGGTCTTGATTACTGAAGACTTTTAAGAGGAATTGAAGCCATCTTTCCGTATTCAGGTGCTGATATTGTAGGTCCCAACGGTAGTTCTATTGAATCAGTGCGCTGGGTCGACGCTGAAACCACTTTATCAGATAGACTTTTAGACATCCAGTCATCCTCGCGTGTAAATTCAACCAAAAAGCGCTATTAGGAATCGATTTTATACCAGTTTTTAATAATATAGTGTTTTCATAAACTTCGGGATATAGATGGCTACATATAAGAAATTTTAGCTTTCGCTCTCTTCGCGAGTATCATTAGGCTGCTGATGCTCTCTCTCTATTGATCTTCACCGCTAGATTACATATAGCAGTTTAATAAACTGGTATAAAACTGGCACTATGAAATAAACTGAGTTTATGCTGTTGAGAAAAAACGAATTTCACCAACGAAACGATCATTTTTCTAAAAGTTTTTACCGGTAAGCGTGGTAAAACTTATAACAAGTTGTATGAATACAAAAACAATACTAAAAGACGAAGCTGAAAAATTACGTTAAGTTCAAGTATCATAGACAGTTATGTAACAGACATTAACCGCGTTACATATAGACCGGAAAAACATGAATATTTCAAGCAGAGAATAATGAATGCAATTATTATCCGTCATTTGAGCAGTATACGCCTTGTGCCATCTGACTTAGTTTTTCGAACAAATATTTTTCTGTGCGTGTTAAATAATACATTAAACTCGCGCGGATGCTCCTTGGCTGACGAGGTGCCCAACTCCAGTTTCCTTCATTCATACCTCGTTGTATAGAGCACATCGAGCTGGTAAAAACCCTAAAAGAATTTTTGCGCATGGCTCTGGAAGTCTCGGTTTTCTGCAAAACCAGTTTTTGAGAAATTCTAAAAATTAATCAAAACCTTTCATAATGAGGCATAATTATAGCCCGCACATTTCTGATAAAATGAGACGTCTTCCAGCTCTACATGACCTTTCTTTGCAAAGTTATAGAATTTACAAGAAAGTCCTAAATTAATTTCTTCTTATTTCTACAGCATTGCGCTGACAATGAACATTTAGGGCTTTTCTTGTAAATTCTATAACTTTGCAAAGAAAGGTCATGTAGAGCTGGAAGACGTCTCATTTTATCAGAAATGTGCGGGCTATAATTATGCCTCATTATGAAAGGTTTTGATTAATTTTTAGAATTTCTCAAAAACTGGTTTTGCAGAAAACCGAGACTTCCAGAGCCATGCGCAAAAATTCTTTTAGGGTTTTTACCAGCTCGATGTGCTCTATACAACGATGTATGAATGAAGGAAATCGGAGTTGGGCACCTGGGGCGGTTCCCTCGTGAGCTGAAAGTTTTTCAAAAATCAATAGGTTTTGGGACACAATCTACTTGGCTTCGATCATCAAGGATTTTTAACGCATAAACATTTAAAATCTTCAAAACAAAAATGTTATGACGGCTCAATGCAAAACACCGACCATTCGGGTAAGATCAATCTCTATTCCGAAAGATGCACACGCGTACTGTAATACTGTTATACTTTTGTTTTCCGATACGAAGAAGTGAGAAGAGCATAATTTATCGATTATCTGGATTATTACATCGATTTTACTGACGCACATACTATAACAATAGTCATTTGTAAAATTAAATTACTATCTCCACCGGCGTAGTTATAGAATTTCACCTAAATGTAATTGCGGAAATAATAGGGAGGATGTCCAGCATTATTTTTTGCACTGTTCCCTATATAATGCTCAACGATAAGATCTTTCACAAAAACTTTCTTTTATGCCTACTTTCTCAGTCGACACCTTGTTACTGAATGGCTTAAGGTTTGATCATGATACTTTAACATGTTTACTTGATACAGTCCTATTGTATATTCAACAAATGAACAGATTTGAATAACTGCATAGTAATTTTTATGATATTCATCCATTCTCGGTCGTCTAGGCTGTCTTCTTAGTCTTCTTAGTTTTTGGTTTTGGTTTTGTTTTTCTTTTTATATCGTTACTCTTTCCTTTTTCTTATCCATAATTACCTTTCTGTGAGCACCTACGGACAACATCTTTATTATTGTTAGGTCCATAATGGTCTTTGACTGCCAACCTTTTTTATCAGAATCAATAAAGATATACATGAAGTGAGAAGAGCATAATTTATCGATTATCTGGATTATTTTACATCGATTTTACTGACGCACATACTATAACAATAGTCATTTGTATGGCGACAGGAAGGAAATATTGTAATTGCAATTTAAAATAAATCATCAGTATTTTCTATTACTTTTCTTTCGCTGCAGAAACGAGGAATATTTTAACGGATATTTCTTGTTCTTATTTTCAACATTTTTTGTCCCTAAACATAATTCATTTAATACGGATTGCGATGTTTCTATATTTAGCAATTGTTTTTCTTGATTGAATTCTTTCCATTTCAAATACTCTTTCTTATCTTTGACATAAATTGTTCTTTCATATTTCTCCATCGTCGTAAGAGGTCTTTTCTATAACAGATATAAATTATAAGCATTGAGTGCACGAGCAGACTTATGTGGCCAGTCTTTTAATACTTTTATGAATTTATGGCAGTTTCAAATGCCAGAACTAGGTGAAACTATTTAGTTCTGAGAAACTTTCCCGACATTAAAGTAAACCCGCTCCGTAAAGGCAGCAAATAATAAAAATTTCTGAACAAGATACTTATATGTCAGACAACTACTGAATTGAAATACATGTATGTGCCTGTAATCGACGATGCCGATTCAGAATATCATAGGAAAGCGGTCCGTACTACTATTAGAAATGGATCCTCTTAATACCATTCTGGAATAGTCCAAAAGTTTTTTCGAATCTTGATTATTAAGGACTATTTAGCTAATGTTTTCCTTCTATAACTATTTATGGTTGCCAAAATTAAGACAGTAGTTCTCGAGCTTTTAGAACACAGGTAAGTTCATGTTTTCTACAAACTAGCAAGCTCGAAGGTCAAAAGTAGAGGAAAAATTATGGATTTTTTCTGTGAGTTTTCATCAGTTTTCACCGAGCGAAATATTGAACGAAGTGTTCAGGTAGTTTAAACAATAAAAAATATTGTATCGCAGTAAAACGTCTTGCAGCTCCTGTGAGAAAACTGTGCCGCATGTTTGTGTTGCCGTTACTAAGAACTTTTAGACATAGTTCTTGAGGTCATTTGAAGATCTACTCTGTTAAAAACGTTGCTAAATTTTATGTTTTACTATTTACAATAGTCTTCATTGAGATTTTTCTCGACTTCTCGTCAATTTTGATGATCTATACGTGGCGCCAATACGTAAAAGATAAGAAAATTTTCGGGCTTTTTAAGTTCTTTCAATTTTTAATTGATGTTATTCGTGGATAAAGATCCGTGTCTAAGTCTTTTTAACCTTTTTTCTATGTTAAACATTTTTTCTCTGACGAAAAAGAACCAATCCGAGGCCTGGACTACGCTATTATCCCAGATCTTGAACCTAAATGTTTTTTGTCTGTGAATATTACGGACGGACTGAGCTCGTCGACATTACGTAGTGCACCCAAAAGGAACTTGAATAATTCTTAAAATCGAATAAGATCAAAAATACTTAATTTCTATTGTTTTCTTTATGATGAAAATACTCAGCGAAATGTATCGCAGCCTCCATGGAAACAATATGTCACAATGTGGCTCCCAGTGTCACAGACGGTTATGTCGCATACTATATCGCAATTGGCGACACATTATCTTTTAGTATATAGTGATATCATAGTTAACTTACCCATCCCAAAAGATTTCGACAGAAGCCATAAAAATAATTGGCTCGGGAATTCCATCCATTTTTTTTATAAACACGAATTTTTAGTGTTTTCAACATTAGAAATGCAGATCGAAATAATGTTTCTATTAATATTTGGTCAACGTCACAATAAAAATAGTATCGAATATTTATTGTTGCTATTTCTAGATTTGTTGCTGTGGATTCTCTCAATAGTAAAACAAGTTGATTATAATTAATTGGTTCATTAATTTCTAATTCTATTTCTTTTAAATATGGTAAAAATGCTTGTTGTTTATGATTATTGTGTTTTTGAGTATAAGCCATCAATCTAAAAGACGATGAGAATACATAAACGGACAAAAGAAAGCGTTTTCTGATTCCATTTGCTTTAAAGTTTTTTCTCAAAAAACTTTTGCAAAAAACGATTTTCTAGAGAAGTGTTTGTTTGAACAAACAAAGGACAGATAGATAAAAGAATTTTGTAACATACTAGCAGAATACATATAGATAAGAACCTATAACAAAATCAGACATACTTTGAGCTTTTTACAATTTTTCGTTAAGGAGCATGTGGAAGTTTTTTGTTTCTCTTGTATTTTGCAAGTAATATATAAAAAAACATTCCTCTAATAGGCAAAAACAAAATGTGCACTCTAAACCACCATCCACATTTCACCAAAAAACATTTTTAAAAACTGTTATTTTAAACAGAAGCTAGTAGTTTATATTAGATCCACATGCGCTCAAAATTTTGATTCGATTTGAGATATCAAAGATCACTAACTGCCTGAGCTCATCAAAAAGTGGCTCTTAATGTGCAAGGTGGCAGCAAGCAACCAACATTTTACACATGTGTAAGAACCCAAAAATTAAACGATTTACAATTAAAACTCTCATTTTATAACATACTGTAACACGTTAAGGAGAATTTTATTTTTCATCATTGATAGAGTTTACTTCTTACTGACAGTAAAACAAGAAAAATGAATGTAAATCCTACCTAGCAATAGAATCATACCGGTGATTAATTATTTTTGCTTTGAAGTATTTTAATTTTGGCCTAAAGATAAATAATGCATTCAAGTCATCTATATGAACATCACAATTCAATATAAAATATTCAAGCGATGATTGTTGTTGTTGTGGATGAAGATAATCAAAACGTGACATGACGTTCGCTGTCAGTGATAAAGATTTTAATTTTGTTAGACTGAATACGGATTGCACCAGTTCAACTCCAAGATCTAGGGTTGGTATTTGTATTGTTAAATGAATTAAATTATTTAATTGTGATAATTTTTTCACAGCATA